TTATCTCCACATTTGTACCAGCTCAGGTTGTTCTTGTTCTTTTGAATGTGTGCCAGTCTTTGTGGTGCAAAATAATTTCATTGTTGTTTTGATTTGCATCTCTGATGATAAGTGAGCTCTTCTGTCCAGCCTTTAGGATTTTCTAAACATAGTGTCATGTTACCTGCCAATAGTCATTTCTTCTTTCTATATGGATGCCCTTGATATCTTTTTCTTGCCTAATTGCTATGGCAAATACTTTAGTACTGTATTGAATAGAAATGGCAAGGGTGGGCAACCTTGTCTTGTGCCTGATCTTAGAAGGAAGCTTCCCCCCCCCCCCCCCCCCGCTGAGAATAATGCTTGCTCTGGTCACAGTCACAGTCACGGTCATCCCGTTATTCATCGATTTGCTCAAGCGGACCCAGTAACATCTCCATCGTAGACTTGTTGTTACTGTGTTTGGCATATCGAATAAGTCACAGGGAGCTTGCCAGGCTTTACCGTGCAGGCAAGATACTCTCAGTAGCTTGCTGGGCTCTCCGAGAGGGGCAGAGGAATCGAACTCGGGTCGGCCATGTTGGCTGCGTGCAAGGCAAACACCTTACCCGCTGTGCTTGCTCTGGGATTCTGGTAAGTGACTGACTATATTGAGGAAAGAACCTTCTATTCTCATTTTGTTGAGAGATTTTATAATGAATGGGTGGTGGATCTTGGTTTTGTCAAATGCTTTCTCTGCATCTATTGACATGATTGTGCGATTTTTATTTTTTCTTGTATTGATATGGTATATTACACTGATTGACTTGCATATGTTAAACCATCCTTTCATACCTAGGATGAATCCCACTTGGTCATGGTGGATGATCTTTTTGATGAGTTGTTGGATTCTATTTACTGTATTTTGTTGAGGATCTTCGCATCTGTGTTCATCAGGGATATCGCCTCCCCTCCCTCTGTAGTGTCTCTGTCTGCTTTTGGTATCAAGGTGATGTTTGCTTCATAGAAATTGTTTGATGAGAACATTTTTGTCTCTTCAATTTCCTAGAAGAGCCTGAGAAGAATTGGCTGTAGGTCTTCTTTAAAGGTATGAAAGGACTCACGAGTGAATCCATCTGGGCCTGAGCTTTGGTTTTTGGATAGACATTTGATTGCCATTTCAATTTCTTCTAAGGTAATGGGTCTGTTCAGGCATCCCATTGCGTATTGGTTCAGCCTTGTGTATGTGGCTGCACTCCAGGACCTCCAGGATGTGTAGAATTGGGCCGATAAGTTTCAGCATCTTGGTTTGCTTGTGTCTCTTCCAAGACTAGCGGTAAAGCTAATTACTTACCTGGCGGTGGCTGTGGCATGTGGGTTTCACTGCGGTGAATTCTGTGGATGTTTTCTTCCTTGCTGGGGCCTCCTGTGGACCACCAGCCAAACCACCACCTTGCTTTGTTTGCCTGTTCTCAAGCTTTATATGTAAAAGGGCTCATACTGCATGGTTATTCTTTGAACTGCCTCTTCTATGAACATATTTGGTTGGGGGGCTGGGGATGAGTTCGAGGGCCTCATATGTTTAAACTGTGTATCTGTGCCTTGTTCTGCATCTTCCCAGTCTGCCTTTTCCACTCGACAAGCTGAGTTCTCTGTAGAGCATAAGGTGCCTCCTGAGGCTGGCGTGCAAACACTTGTCTCTGCCTGGTCCATGTTTGGGTGGATGCTGCCTGCCCCCCAACACCCCCACCCCGGCATGGTCAGGAGGACTGTCTTGACTTCTGGAGGGCATCTGCTCAACACAGTAAGGCAGAGGGAGAAATTCAAACATCAGTGGTTAGTGGTGACCATGGGCGGGATGGTGGCACTTGGTGACCAACTCTCGGTGCTGGAACAGGAAGGAGAACTCCAGATTGTGGGGGCCCATGTGACACTGTGTATGGTGGGTAGGGGTCTTGGACACTTTGGTGTGGTGATGGAGGTCACTGCATACACCAAGACCATAACTGTCAACACCATTGTAAACACGTTATCTTCTTCTACAACCAAAGAACAAAAATAAAATCGTTCCATTTGTCATGAATAAACCAAAATAGAACAGGAACTACAGAGTGGCGGGCTTTTGATTCAGCTGGGAGAAACCAAATGCTCAACCCACAAAGTCTTAGAGATAGGTTTTTCTTTCACCTGGAGACCCAGATGAGCTCATGCTCTTTCAGTCTGGGTCCGAGCAGAGACGAAGCAGAGAATTGCTACTGTGTTAGCCCTGTGTGCAGCCTGGGCTGTGCCCCTCAAAAGGCAGAGTTAGGGGTGGGAGACGAGCTGACCAGGGTGGATAAGGCAGGGGATTAGGAGTCTGGGAAGCAGAGGAGCCTCTGTAGCTGGGCATGGGAATGGACAGACGGACCCCGAGGCCATGCTAGAGTGTCCAGATAAAAGTGACTTGTGGGAGTGGAGAGATAGCACGGGGGAGGAGGGCACTGGCCTTGTACACAACCGACTGGGTTTGATCCCTGGGACCCCACATGGTCCCCTGAGCCCACTGAGCACTCAGTAATTCCTGAGTGTAGAGCCAGGACTAACCCCAGAGCATTGCCGGGGGGGGGGGCTCCCAAAAGAATCTCCCCTCTCCTTCCCCCGACTCAGATAGAAATATTCTATATTTCCGGGGCTGGAGAGATGGTACAGTGGGTAGGGTGCTTGTCCTGTATGCAACTGACCTAGGTTCTATCCCTGGCATCCCATATGGTCCCCCAAGCACTGCCAAGAGTAATTTCTGAAGACGGAGCCAGGAGTAACCCCTGAACATTGCTGAGTGTTAACCCCCTCCCCCCAAAACCCCTAACAAACAAGAAATGTTTAATTAATTAATTAATTAATTGGCTTTTTTGGTCACACTTAGCAGGAGGACCCACCCTAGAGCAGAATTCCATGGGCGTGCCTCTCCTCTCCTTGTCCGACAAGCATATAAAATATTATATAAATCATTTTGTATGGATACAGTAAGAAATACCTTAAACTTATAGAATTGCTCTCCTAGGGCCATCTCGATCTCAGACTACGGTGCTCAGGCCAGATAGTCTTTCCCACCCCTAGCAGGATCCTAGTCTTGTCGTTACCTTTGGATCATGACAGCATTTGTCTATGATCAAACTCTTAACTTATAGTTAAGAATCGTGGCACTTTGGCCTGGCCCATTTCGCTGCCAGGGTAGCTCACTGCTTGCCCTGGGTCCATTCAGTCCCTCGTCGGGACCCTGCTTTTGGGGTGTTAGGAACTAAGGGCAACTGAGGCTTAAGTCGAGAAAGCAGATGCCCAGGAGTGAATAATATTCAAGGCCAATCAAATCCTAAGTTACAAAGCATAATGTTAACGGTCTTTCTGTATCTATACAAAAAGGATATTACCTTAAAGTAAATTGTTCATAAGGCATAAGGAGAGGAGAAAGGCAATATTTCACTCATACATATAAAATCATAGATTTCTGGGAAACTATTTAACAAAGTCTGATTAAGGGGAAAGCTGATTAACTGGGTGGGAGAGCATAGGGAAGACTGTTTACAGATAAACACAATGGAAGTGGAAGTGCTTCAGGAGCACTGAGGTGCGTGTAACCAGATAAAACCTAAGCTTCTTGAAGGACAAAGCAATGTTACCCAACAATTTAATATATTTTTTTTGCTTTTTGGGTCAACCCAGCGATGCTCAGGGGTTACTCCTGGCTCTGCACTCAGGAATTACTCCTGGCGGTGCTCAGGGATGCTATGGGATGCTGGGGATTGAACCCAGGTCTGTCACATGCTAGGCAAATGCCCTCCTCACTGTACTACCACTCCGGCTCCAGGGGTGTACTTTTATATTGATTCAAAAGAGGTTTTCAAAGGGCTGGAGTGATAGTAGGGCATATGTCTTGCACGCAGCTGGCCTGGGTTCGATCTCTGGCATGCTATGTGGTCCCCCAAGCACCACTAGTAGAGATTTCTGAGCAAAGAGCCAGGAGTAACCCCTGAACACAGCTGGGGTAACCCAGAAACAACAACAAAAGGTTTTCCAGGCCACACTTATCATGGAAATTCAGGTTGCAAACTCTTGTGAATTCTGATTTGTGGTGAGGAATTGTTAGGGAAGAATGTGTTCTCTTTTGCCCAGCACAAAGCTGAGTCAGACAGGTTTCCTGTGTTTGTGGAGAGTTATTTCTCACTCATTTTTACCTTAGGGGAGAGTCTTTATGGGTTTCTGGTGTGTGTGTGTGTGTGTGTGTGTGTGTGTCTGTGTGTGTGTGTGTGTCTGTGTGTCTGGATATGATTTTGTGTGTGTATTTGGTGAGAGAAAAGTGAGCACGAGAGAAAGCTTACATGAGATTTTTTTTTTTTTTCGGGGGAAGCACACACCTTCTCAGGGCTTGCTTCCAGTTCTGTACTCAGAGCTCACTCTAGGTGGGCTCAGGGTACCATATGTGGGGCTATGGATCGAACCCAGGTCAGCTGTGTGCAAGGCAAGCACCCTATTGGTGTGCTATCTCTCTGGGCCCCATGATGTGAAATTTTAAAAAGAAATATCATTTAAAAGTTAATGTGACTTTGGGCTGGAGCAATCGTACAGCAGGTAGGACGTTTGCCTTGTGTGTGGCTGACCCAGGTTCAATCCCTGGCATCCCATATGGTTCCCCGAGCACCTCCAGGAGTAATTCCTCTGTGCAGAGCCAGGAGTAACCTCTGTGCATTGCCAGGTGTGACCCCCCCCCAAAAAAAAGAAAAAAGAAAAAAGAAAAAAGAAAAAAGTTAATGTGACTTCTTTAACACATCCTTATTCTGATGAAGCCTTATACGCGGTAAAAGACACAGTGATTACAGAAACAAGTGGAAAATGCCTTGTGAGATTTCTTCACTTTTGGGATTAGCCATCCTGGACCGAACAAGCTGGGGTGAGCTATTGTGCCAGCCCCTAAAGCAGCGCCCGGCAAATCAAAGAGATCCACTGAGACAGGCTTAGGGCCTCACAAAGGCATGCTGGGCTGAGACGGTCTTTCTCTTTACTTAAAGGATTTTGACTCCTTCTTCTCTGCAAAAGAAGAGAACATTATCTATTCGTTCCTGGGATTGGCTCCCCCTCCTGGCTCAAAGGTAAGTTGGAAACCCTATTGGGGCCCCTTTAGTGAAGGTAGAATTCAGCATTTGGGATCACTTACTAACGATGACCTTTCAGTTAATATGTGATGCAGGTTGTATTTGAATGATGGCTTATGCGTTGAGACAGGTTTCTTTTGGCCCAGCCTGCAGTTCTCTGGAGCTATTCTCACCTGACATGGCTCAGGGCTAACTCCTGGCAGGGCTTGGGGGACCATAGGGAGTGCTGGGGTTTGAACCTGGCTGGCTGTGTGCAGTGCAACCTGCTCTGTCATCTCTGCTTACAGAGCCTTAAAGAGCACTTAATTTAGTAACTGCAAACACAGTACATAAACAGACAAGTTCCCGGTTTGTGCTTATGAAGCCCTTTGTTCTGAGTCAGCTTCTCGTGTAGCTTGCTTGCTGTCTCACCAGCAGGTCCTGGCATCATTTTTTTCTGTCAAAATGAATTGAAGTTTGCTTTTTTTTTTTTTTTTGGCCTAATAAAGGAGAACACAACAGATTCAAGAACAAGTTAGGTTTCATCTGATTCCTCTCCCTGGAGTTGTCTTTTCTTTCCTTCCTTCCTTCCTTCCTTCCTTCCTTCCTTCCTCCTCCTCCTCCTCCTCCTCTTCCTCTTCCTCCTCCTCCTCCTCCTCCTCCTCCTCCTTCTTCTTCTTCTTTCTTTCTTTTCTTTTTTGCATCACACCCAGAAATGCTCAGGGGTTCCTCCTGGCTCTGCACTCAGGAATCACTCCTGGTGGTGCTTGGGGGACCATATCGGATGCTGGGAATCGAACCCGGGTCAGCCACATGCAAGGCAAACGCCCTACCTGCTGTGCTATCACACTAGCCCCGATTTGTCTTACCTTTAATTATGTGTCATCATGTCAGCGATGCAGAGAACTATGCAAATAAAGCGAATGACACACATCGAGCTGTGTGATGTGGGCGCCGAGCTTCCTTCTCACACGGTGTGAACTCCTTGCCTACTTCACTGCAGCCTCGCCGTAAGCCTACAGAGAGACATGCAACATAGAAGGGCATGTCTATGCTGCCTTGATTCGTTTTTCTTTTTTCAAACATTCCCTAATTCAATTTAAATTATAAAATAAACTATTTAAAATGATAAATTTATTAGATACAATTAATAAGTTAAATTATAAAATGAATCATTTAAATGATAAAATAAAATAATTTTATTTAGGGGCTGGAGTGGGATGGAGCGGTAGCACAGTGGGTAAGGCGTTTGCCTTGCATGCGGCCTACCTGGCTGACCCAGGTTCGATTCCTCTGCCCCTCTCGGAGAGCCCGGCAAGCTACCAAGAGTATCTCGCCTGCACGGCAAAGCCTGGCAAGCTCCTCGTGACCTATTCAACATGCCAAACACAGTAACAACAAGTCTCATGATGGGGACGTTACTGGGCCCGCTCGAGCAAATCGATGAACAATGGGAGTGACAGTGACAGTGACAGGGGCTGGAGTGGACTGGAGCAATAGCACAGCAGATAGGGTGTTTGCCTTGCACATGGCCGACCTAGGTTCAATTCCTCCGCCCCTTTTGGAGAGCCCAGCAAGCTACTGAGAGTATCTCGCCCACACGGCAAAGCCTGGCAAGCTCCCCGTGATGTATTCAATATGCCAAACACAGTAACAACAAGTCTCACAATTTTGTGTGAGACATTACTGGTGCCCGCTCGAGCAAATCGATGAACAACGGGAGGACAGTGCTACAGTGCTGGGGCTGGAGTACAGTGGGAGGGCGTTTACCTTGCACGCAGTCGACCTGGGTTCAATCCCCGGCATCCCATATGGTCCCCCAAGCACTGCCAGGAGTGATTCCTGAGGGCAGAATCAGGAGGAACCCCTGAGCATTGCCGGGTGTGACCCAAAAAAAGCAAAGAAAAAATTATTTTAAGAATAGAATAAAAATTATTATTTTTTTATACCCCTCTATGATCATGGGGCTATGATGATGAGCACTCAGTGCTCAGGGGTGAATCCCGGTAGTGCTTAGGGGACTGTGTGGTGCTGGGGACCGAACCAGGGTCAGCCTCGGGCAGAACAATGGCCTCGTCTCTGTCCTGTCTTGAAGAGCTAATGAGAGCTGTCATTATTTTTGGGTTTTGCGTCACCTCTGGCAGTGCTCAGGGTTCACTCCTGGCTCTGCATTCAGGGATCCCTCGTGGCGGGGCTTGGGGACCATGAGTGGTGCAGGGAATCAAACCAGGCAAGTGTTCTGCCTGCTGGACTGTCTCACTCGTCACACATTTTACTGCAGGTATCATAACTTTTGCTCTATATAATTTATCTATCTGGTTTGGGGCCACACCTGATGGTTCTTAGGGCACCAGAAATATTTTTAAGAGTCTTATCAGTTAGTTGATCTGTTCCTCCCCACCTCTCTCTCTCTCTCTCTCTCTCTTTCTTTCTTTCTTTTTTTTTTTTGAGCCACCAGGAGTAAGCCAGGGCTCATTCCTGGCTTTGCAGCCAGGGATTACGCCTGTACATGCCCAGTTCTCTCTCTCTCTCTCTCTCTCTCTCTCTCTCTCTTTCTTTCTTTCTCTCTCTCTTTTTTTCTTCCTCTCTCTCTGTCTCTTTCCCTCTTTTTTTTTTTTTTTTTGCTTTTTGGGTCACATCCGGTGATGCACAGGGGTTACTCCTGGCTCATGCACTCAGAAATTACTCCTGGCGGTGCTCGAGGGACCATATGGGATGCTGGGAATCGAACCTGGGTTGGCTGCATGCAAGGCAAACGCCCTACCTGCTGTGCTATCGCTCTAGCCCCCCCACCTTTTCTTTCTTTCTTTCTTTTTTTTTTGAGCCACCAGGAGTAAGCCAGGGCTCACTCCTGGCTTTGCACCCAGGGATAGCTCCTGTTGGGGCTCAAGGGCCCTTTGGTGGTGCTGGGGATTGAACCTGGGTCAGCTGCATGCAAAGCAAGGGCTATATTCACTGTACCATCTCCTGGGCCTGCCCAGTTCTCTTCCTTCCTTCCTTCCTTCCTTCCTTCCTTCCTTCCTTCCTTCCTTCCTTCCTTCTCTCTCTCTCTCACTCTTTCTTTTGATATTTTTTTTATTAATGAATCACCGTGGGGTACAGTTACAGACTTACAGACGTTCGTGCTTGCGTTTCAGTCATACAACGGTCGAGTACCCATCCCCCCACCAGCGCCCATTCTCCACCACCAATGGTCCCAGTATCCCTCCCACTACCCCCACCCCAGTTCTCTCTCTCTAAACATTTTTTAAACTGCGGCTTTGGTAACCAGGTCACAGTGATCTTAATGTTTATGGCTTTGCACAGTCACTGCGCCTCTCCCCGCCCCCCACCCAGAGCCCCAGACCTGCCCCACTGTCTCACGTCACTTCCGGTCCAGGCTGTCTTCCCTTGCTCCCCACCCCGCTGCTTGCTAATGTCAGTTTTATAATCAAAGGCCGAGGGTTCGTCAACGTCTGATACTGCCTGTTCCTTGTTTTTGTTTCTCCCTGTGCCTCAGTTGAGCAAGATCCTCTGGTATTTGTCCTTTCCCTTCTGACCTGTTTCACTGAACATGACACCTCCTGGTTCCATCCAAGTTGCAGGGAATGACGAGATTTCATCATTTCTCGCTGCACCTTAAGATTCCGTGGTGTCTAAGTCACAGCCTCTTTTTTAAAATTTATTTCTTATTTAATGTTTTTAATTGATTGATGGAGGTTCTGTGATGTACACGACTGCTCAGGATGGTTTTTCATGCATATTATTCTTATTCTTCTTCTTATTTTTTTTGCTTTTTTGGGGTCACACCCAGAGATGCTCAGGGGTTCCTCCTGGCTCTGCACTCAGGAATTACTCCTGGAGGTGCTTGGGGGACCATATGAGATGCTGGGAATTGAACCCGGGTCGGTTGCGTGCAAGGCAAACGTCCTACCCACTGGACTATTGCTCCAGTTCCTCATGCACGTTATTTTAACAAGTTCTCTTTCATCCCTTCTCCTTTTCTGAAGTCGCTGCATCATTAATCACAGCCCTGGCTGGCGTGCCCACCTCCCACCCGCAGGGACCCCAACCCCCTCCCTCTCTCCCGCCCCCTCACTGGTGCAGCGGGTGAATCTGTTCTCGGGTTGTAAATTCATGGTTTCTCTATCCCTCCATGTGCCCTTGGACGTGGGGTTGTTTCCATGTTCCGGGTCTCTTCCTTAGCATGCCAAGAACATGGGTGCGCATGGATCTTCGTGAACGAATGTGTCTGCATTTGGGGGGCAGAGACAAAGAAGCGGGGGTGCTGGATTCCAGGAAAGCTACCTTCTTACTTTTCCAAGAAGCTTCCAGACTGTTTTCAGTGCATCGGTGGACCGGACGACGTTCCCACCTACAGTGGACGAGGGTGATGTGACCACAACTTTGCCGACACCGTTTTCTGCTATTGAACGTCGGGTGCAGATGCCGCTTCAGTCACAACCAGAGCCTGCGTCTGACCGCCAGAGGCCCAGTAGGTGGAAGGGACCTTCTGTCCTGCTCAGTAAGATCTAGCAACAGTCTGAGGGCAGATTTGCCCTTTCCTAGGTCGACACTGGGACAGAGGGACCCTCACCCCAAGAGTGAGCAGACAGGAAGGAGAGCAGTCTTTCCTCCTCCCCTCCGCAACGCTCTTTTTTGTTTTCTCCATTCCTGTTTGGAAATTTGTTTAAAAAGAGGAAAGAGGGCTGTTGTCCTCAGGATGGTTGTTTAAAACTTCTGTCACCTTTAGTCTTTGGTAAAGGAGCAAGGAGAGCCTCTTTAACAAGTGGTACTGGAATAACTGGGCAGCCACATGCAAAAAAAAAAAATAAATGAACTCAGACCTTTGTCTAATGCCAGGCACAAAAGGCAGATCAAAATGGAACAAAGACCTGAATCTAGCAGGTTCACCGATGCACTGAAAACACTCTGGAAGCTTCTGGGAAAAGTAAGAAGGTAGCTTTCCTGGAATCCAGCACCCCTGCTTCTTTGTCTCTGCCCCCCAAATGCAGACACATTCGTTCACGAACATCCAT